AATTGGATCAGGTTATTGCCCTGCTTGGCGATGTTTTCGTAGGCACTTTCTTCATGAACTAATTGCATAGGCAATCTCATTGGGAAGCGGGCATAGAAACAAGATAGCCAAGTCAACATTTCACGGATCAAAACCGTATTTCCTGGCGAGAATCCACAATTAGGGTAGGTTTTACACGATATGGAAGTCTTGGAAGACGGGACCAGCTTTATCAACGTAAACGTATGGTTAACTTTCCATCATACACAACCGAGCTATGTATTAAACCGTGATCTGTGTATGGGGCAAAGACTGCATTCCTAAGAGGTGTGTGTGTGTGTGTGTGTGTGTGTGTGTGTGTATGTGAGAGAGAGAGAGAGAGAGAGAGAGAGAGAGAGAGAGATTGACAGACGCTGTGGGTCCAATATGGGTGGAAATGTAGGATCTATCAATTTGTATCATTCCATAGGGCTATGAATTTTCTTTTTCTTTTTTAATGCTTATTTACTTCTGAGGGAGAGAGAGAGAGCGCAGGGAAGGGGCAGGGAGAGGGAGGCACAGAATTGGAAGCAGGCTCTAGGCTCTGAGCTGTCAGCACAGAGGCTGACATGGGATTTGAACTCATGAATCATGAGATTGTGAGCTGAGCCAGAGTCAGACGCTTAACTGAATGACCGACCCAGGACCCCAAGAAGTGTCCTCCTTAATGCCCATCACGCATCTAGCCCATCCCCCCTCCCCTTCAGCAACCCTCAGTTAGTTTCCCATATTTAAGAGTCTCTTATGGTTTGCCTCCCTCTCTGTTTTTATCTTATTTTTCCTTCCCTTCATAAAGAAATTGGGAAAAGTAGAAAAAAGCAATAAAAAATAGATTCTAGGGGTGCCTGGGTGGCTCAGTCAGTTAAGTGTCTGTCCAACTTCGGCTCAGGTCATGATCTCACGGCTTGTGAGTTCGAGCCCCACGTCGGGCTCTGTGCTGACAGCTCAGAGCTTGGAACCTGCTTGGGATTCTGTGTGTGTGTGTCTCTCTCTCTGCTCCCTCCCCACTCACACTCTGTCTCTCTCTCAAAAATAAATAAACATTAAAAAATTAAAAAAATATATATTCCAAATTCAATGAGCTTGGAACCTATGATACTTTGCAAGAAAACTAAATGGACCTTTTGGGAAAGATGGTCTTTCAAGCAGACTGATGGGCAGGGCTGGGGACAAGGCGGGGAGGACACAGACAGGATCTCCAGCAGCCTTGGGACACCCGGCTTCCTTCCTGAGAGGGATCTTGGGGAGCATGCAGTGTTATAAGGGTACACCTGACCCCCTCTTTCAGATCTGCGTGGAGCCCTGGAATCTGGGGCTTTTCTTCCCTGCAGTCTGCGGCATACCCTGATTCCCAAATCTTGCTGAGCATAGGGAATGTATCCCTGGAAAGCAGGCCCTGCCTGGTGCACAGGGACGTGGAGAATGGGGTTGGCATCACAGCACTCAGCCTCTTCCCGTAAACACGGCCCTTTTCCAGCTGCCTATTGAATCTGAGCTTTTCTAGACAAAGTCAGTAAATAATAGCACGAATCGATGGGCTGCAGAGTGCGTCCTGTGTCTACGATGCTGGCTTTCATAGGTAACGGAGTTATGAGCTCTTTATTCAGGGCAAGCAACACTTTGGTTCTGGGCCAGAGAGAGAAATTGCTATAACTGATACGTCCGAGACCCACAGGGAGGGAACAGGAGACTTAAGCCCATGATGATGGGGAAGCTTCAAGGATGTAGGGTTTGCAGGAACAGCATGGGGCTCTGCAAATGAGGTAAATGCGACCAGTTGGCCATGAGATGGGACGGGGTGGGGGATCACCGTGCAAGTGCCATCGGTCAGTTGATGAACGGGTTCCGGTCAGGATACCCTGGGAGACAGGATGAGTGGTGACCCCTTTGGAACATTGTAGGTGTTGATTTGGGCGGTGGGAGATGATGTTCTACGGACATGGCTCCAGAGCCTGAGGTCCGTCAGTTAACTGAGGGTCACTTTAAGCTAAAGGAGAGGACATCATGAAAAATGGATACACAGTGTGCTTGGGTGGCTCAGTCCGTTAAGCATCAGCTTCTTGATTTTGGCCGAGGTCATGGTCTCAGGGTTCGTCAGTTCGAGCCCTGCGTCGGAGTCTGCTCTACCACCATGGAACCTGCTTGGGATTCTCCAACCCAGCTAGTAAGGGGAAGAGGCAGAATTTGAGCCAGGACGGTAAAATTCAAGGCTCTGCTCTTAACTATGTTTTCTTTATCACCGTAAAGATGAACTGGGGACATGGCGGGGGGAGGGGCAACTTACACAGTGTTTTGTTTATTACCTGTGCACAATTACTAGAAATCTTGTCATGAGCTGTCCAGTGTTTCTACTAGGTCCCAAATTACAGAATTACTGTGTTCTTTAAATCCTCAGGAGCTTTGAAAACATCTCAGGGAGTAGCAGTATTTCAGTCCTATTGAATACACTAAAAACGAAAAAGGGGATCAGTACTTAAAACTAAAGCAAAAAAGAAAAAAAGAGTGGACGTGTGTCGTAAGGGGAACAGAGCCTCCTACGGGTGTCCCCCTTGTGTGTCCGCTGGACAGGTGAGTTCACCCGGGATCCTCAGATGTGTGTTTTCCATATGCCTTCTGTGTAAATTGTACAAGCTCTCCACAGCTCCCTCACCTTGGATGTGACTTCCACAATAAGGTCTACGGAAGGGACAGGGGAGGGCAGGATTCCCCATCTCAGCTCTGTCTCTTCATGGCTGAGCATTTTGGGATCACATTCCCCCTCCCCTCGGAGCCTGCAGAGAATTTAAATGAGATAATATGGGGCGCTTGACGGGCATGCCCACAAACAGCACTGGTTACTGTGGTTTGAAATACATTTCTACTTGCTGGGATGAGCCCTGGGTGTTATACGTAGGGGATGAATCACTGGAATCTACTCCTGAAATTGTACCACTGTGTGCTAACGATCTTGGATATAAATTAAAAAATGAATAGATACTAAAAAAAATTTTTTAAAGGAAAAAAAGTACAGGCACCTGGATGGCTCAGTCGGTGAAGCGTCCGACTTCAGTTCAGCTCATGATGTCACATTTTGTGGGTTCGAGCCCCCGTTGGACTCTGGGCTCACAGCTCGGAGCCTGGAGCCTGCTTTGGATTCTGTGTCTGTCTCTCTCTCTCTCTCTGCCCCTCCCCTGCTTATGCTGTGTCTCTGTCTCTCAAAAATAAATAAACATTAAAAAATTTTTTTAATAAAAGAATAAAAAAAGAAAAAAATAGAATATATTTCTGTATCTCTCTGCTGTCCCTCCTACAACATAAGCCACTGTCTGCAGGACATACGTTGGATATCCCTTAGATGCCTCCTTGTGGTTTCCTCCCATATTAGGAAACTCGCCAAATATCTGTTCCTGACAGATCATAACCGGCACTTACATAGAGACACCAGACAGGTTGGGTGCTCTGAACACACGGGGTACAGAATTACACCAGTGCAGCAAGGTCCAGGGGCTCTCGGGGACGTCCTGTTTACTTTTCACAAAAAACATACAAAACTGTCACTGGAGGGAGCTTTTCACTCAGTAGGGAAAGTGTCTATTTGGTTATTTAGAGATCTCTCGACTACATTCACTGCTTTTCTTTGCACTGCTTTTCTTTGTACCGAGTGACCGAAAAGGCAGGAATACGTGTCTGAATTGATTTAAATGCTCAATAATATTTCAATCAGTATAATTCATTTTAATTATGTAATATTTATTTATACTTATTTAAGTTTTCCTTTTTTTTTTTTTTTTTTGAGGGAGAGACAGAAGCAGTGTGAGTGGGTGAGGGGCAGAGACAGAAGGAGAGAGAGAGAGAATCCCAAGTGGGCTTTGTACTGTCTGCACAGAGCCTGATGCGGGACTCAAACCCATGAAACCATGAGATTATGAGCTGAGCTGGAGTCGAGTCAGATGCTTAACTGACTGAGCCACCCGGGAGCCCCATTTATTACTTACTGAACGATATCAATTATTTAATCTTGAAATTAATTTTAATACTTTCTTGACCATTAATAGGACTTTAATTGTATTATTTTAGTGGTTTGATCATTTAATTCAAGTATTAATCAAAATATCTATTTTATACAATCTCCTATACATTAGAAAATGCTTATGTAATATGGAAATTGTGGAATACGAAATTATAATTATGAAAATCCTTAGTAATGGTATTTATTTATTTATTTATTTATTTTTTCAACGTTTATTTATTTTTGGGACAGAGAGAGACAGAGCATGAACGGGGGAGGGGCAGAGAGAGAGGGAGACACAGAATCGGAAACAGGCTCCAGGCTCTGAGCCATCAGCCCAGAGCCCGACGCGGGGCTCGAACTCACGGACCGCGAGATCGTGACCTGGCTGAAGTCGGACGCTTAACCGACTGCGCCACCCAGGCGTCCCTCAATCTATGTTTTCAAAATGAAATTTAATCTACCATTTAACCTTCTCCTGGTGGCTAAAATAAGGAATAATAATATATATTATGTGTATATATTATAACATATAGGTTATATATTATGTATATACAACATATACTTTATATAGTATATATACTAGTAAACAATATTAAAAAACCATTATATAGTGTGATACATATATGTATTATGCATATATGCATGTATCCTTATGCATATATTGTTACGCAAATACATATGCACAGCATTATGCATATACAAATACGTGTTATGTCACTGTATCACTATGCATATAGATATACACACCATTACGTACCTATGCAAACACATATCATCATGCACACACATATAGCACCATTATGCATATATAAATACCTATAACGTGCAAATACATATATGCACATATGTATCAAACCTTGGATATGAAATATAAATGTTTAAATATTGAGATCGCTATATATGTCTAGCACTGCGTGCATATACATATTTTCCATGTAATACATATGGACCTACACATGTATGACTTTTTGAAATATTGTTCCGTGCTTACTGTAACACATTTGTCGGTGGCCTTGCCAGCTTTCGTGAACACCCCATGAATCAGGGACAACATCTGGAGCTACGATTTGGAAGACGCAGAGAAGAGATTAGCGCATGCTTGGCGGTGCTGGGAATGATGTTTTTTACTCAACAATCTTCTGCATCAGGACTTGGCAAGCTTTCTCTGTAAAGAGCCAGAGAGTAAATATTGTCAGCTTCAGCCTAGGAGGTAAAATTGAGGATATTATGTGGGTGTTTCTACAGCCTTTTGTGGTGCAGCCACCTACCGGTGGAAAAGCCATTCCTAGCCATGGCTTGCACACGCTCATTCTGTAGTCGCTCTGGGAGGAAGTGCTTGAGAAATTAATGCATTTTTTCACTCACGGAAGCACTTCTGCAGCTCAAGTCTGTCCACGCCTCAAAGCAGCGTCTGCCTTCGCAAGAGCAAGGCTGTAACCCACAGACCTTGGGGGCATTAGCATAAGTCACCTTCGAGTTCAGGAACATAGATCAATTCTTGGGGAAGTTTCTGGGGACATGAAAGGTGCTAGTTGTGGGAGTAGATAGTTCAGGCTGCATTTAGTCTCTGCCAGAGGTGAGACCTAGATCTTGCATGACAGGGTGTCCAATGTGTCCCTTATTAACTCCGTGTGTTTATTGGTTGACTTGTGTCTGTGATACAGGAGACCCTCGGCAGTAGGGGCCCCAGGTCAGGGACCTGCACTGTCCAGGTGTGTTGACCGTGCTGCATGAAGGGATTTAGGAGCATAAACCACAGTTACAAATATTCTTGTGTCACTGTTCCCTGGCTCTTAATTGTGTCTAAATTTCTGCTTCACTCATTAAAAAAAAAACACAAAAAACAATATGTAAAATGAGACACCACGGGGCACCTGGGTGGTTCAGTTGGTTAAGCGTCTGACTTTGGCTCAGGTCATGATCTCACGGTTTGTGAGTTCAAGCCCCGTGTCGGGTTCTCTGCTGACAGCTCAGAGCCTGGAACCTGCTTCGGATTCTGTGTTTCCCTCTCTCTCTGCCCCTCCCCTGCTCATTCTCTGTCTCTCCCTGTCTCAAAAATAAATACACATTAAAAAAATAATAAATAAATAAAATGAGACAGGACTCCCTCATGCTAGCTCTGAAGACTAATGAGATAGCATGAGAGCCTTTTTCTGTCCCCGAGCAAAGAGGACCTGTGACTTCACATAAGTTTTGGAGATTGAGAATGTCAAGGAGGCAGCAGCAAAGTAAGAGTTGATATTCCACAGTGAGATTCAGGGAGATTTCCAGAGAGAAGAGAGCAATGAACTTGGGGGCTGGTTCCCATATCAACTCCTGGTATCTAGGAAGCCCTCAGTGGATGTTTTCCCAATCAATCCATCAATCAAATACCCATCAATCAATGCATGATAGATAAGACCGTAGATGTAATCTCACTGGTAAACGTGCAATTGCATAAATGATTCAAGCGGGGGAAATGCACACTGATCTATACTCCAGGACATGATATTTATTGGTGGCATGAATTGGCGTCTGGAAGGTTGTGCCATGGCCTTGGTGAGGAGCCAAAAGCTATGAGATTTGGCATTGCCAGAGAGGGGCAGATATAAGTGGGTTTTAGGGGTGACCTAATTTCCCAGGGCCGGGCCATAACAAAGTACCACAATCAAGGTGTCCTGCTTCCCCCTCTCATAAGAGCACCGGTCATATGGGGTTAGGGGCCATCCTGCTCTGGTATGACCTTATCCTAGATTCCACCTGCAATGACCCTATTTCCAAATAAGGTCATGTTCTGAAGCCCTGGGGTTGGGACCTCAGCATATATTTTTTGCAGGAAGGCACACAGGGAGGGTAACCAACCACGCCTTTTGGTAAATAACACGGCATGAAAAAAGAACCGATTTCAATGAGTCACAAATGGTCCCGAAGCCTCTTAGTGGGGTCTAGATGGCCTTGATCTTAATTGAAAAGGAAAAGAGCAGGACAACCTTATGGCTTGAACCCACTGGGTTTATAATGCCTGGGAGTTATTTAGGAAAGATTTGGCTACAGGCAGTTGGACATAGGAGAACTCACGTGTGCGGTGTGATCTGGTCAATAGAATGGATTTACCTCCTCCAGGAAGTGCGTTATTGCACGGCACAGGGGTAGGATGACAATGTGAGGCTGACTTATGTGCTGCTGGGAACGTCTCCAAGGCACACAGGTGTTTGTGACCAAAGCAGTGAGCGTGATGATGTGCAGAATGTATTAACATCCTCGTAAAAACAAGATGTGTGTGCAAGGTACAGTACGGACCGGCTTGTGTATTTGTAGAAAGTCCTGGGATGAAAATACAAGATGGTAAAAGCCTACGCAGAGTTTTGGGGGTGCACTGAACACCACTTTGACCCCCTGGAATTCACCACTGTTTTATGGTATTACTTTAAAACAAACAGCTGGTTTGAATGTGGGTATTGGCCTCGCCTTTGGGTTGACACGTCGTGGAATGGTTGCTCTGAGCGTTTCTGCACATCACTGTGTGGTGGTTCGCAGGTGGAGGCTGAGATAGAATCATTCGGGGGCAAGGTGTGTGGAGGCCAGTTTCCCTATCGTGACACACCTGACTTCAGTCTATGATGCACAGAGTCTAACCATATGGCACGGTGTCTCTCCTGGAAGGAAAGGAGACAGATAAGCTCTTGGACCAACACCCAGCATTGCAACGGGTGAACTCTGTTAACAGAAGAGAGAACAAAAATGTGAACGGTCCAGAAAATATACTGAGAAGTAATATTGCTTGTGTGGGTAACAGCCTTTGAGCTGTGAGTGGTTCTCTTCCGACTTGGCTATTTAATGATCCACGTTGCTCTTTACATGCAAGAGAGACAGACCATTAGCACACCCTGTTGGGAAGTGAGGATACAGAGAGGTCCAATTTTACAGCACATTGGTTTTCAGCCAGGATGGCCGACGTGACAGTGGGCTTTACGGGAGTCATTTATCTTTGAGGCTCTCTTGGAGCTGGTCCATAACTGCATAGACTTGGTTTAGCCATGCAAGCCGTCAAAGGCGCTGGCATCTCCAATGCCTCTGGAAACTGTATTACAGTAAATGCGATTTAAGAGGCTGACAACTTCCTGAGTAGATGCTCCGTGAGAGCTCACTCCTGCAAAAGAAGAACTCAAGAATGTGGTGCCTTCGTTATGGTGAGGCTGAGAACCAACGGTGACATCATTTGGATTGGGTGTAGTGAACAAGCACATCCGAGTTTTACTTGCCCAAAGTTACCATTTCTCACCGTGGTTTTAATTTAAATGTATGCTTAAAAAACGAAGTCTTTAAATAGCAGGAAAGGAAGGCTTATTAAAGATGTACATCATGTGTCTAAGAACATAGGCAATCCCCCCACTCGTTTACAGGTGTGGATTACAGATGCATCTGAAGTTTGAAAGGCATACAAACAGGGCAGAAATTTGACTTCTCCAAGACCCGGCTGTTACCAGAAGCAGAAGGCAGGGGGTGATAGGAGATTGCAGAGGTGGGAACACGCAGGGTAGGCTTCTGATAGACTTTGAATTGAAGATTATATAGGCCCCTGGTGTTCTACCGACATTTGTATGAGGAAGCACTCCATGGTCTAGTGAGGAATCCAAGCCACAGATGGGATAAATCGCCAGGTAAATCTCTTAGCATTTCATATTATGATCTTGTTTATAAACCACCGCTGTTCACACTGTTTATGGATTTCTTCGGTTAAATCTCAAAATTACCACAAATGCAAACCCACAAAAAAACCCCACTCACAATGAACAAATATTAATAAGTTTATTTTCTTGACAGTTTTTAGATGTTTATTTGTTTTGAGAGGGCTGGAAGGGCAGAGAGAGAGAGAGAGAGAGAATCCCAAGCAGGGTCCATGCTGTGAATGCAGAGCCCGATATGGGGCTCCAAATCATGAACCGTGAGATCATGACCTGAGCCAAAATCAAGAGCCAGACGTTCAACTGAATGAGCCACCCAAGAGCCCCTAAAACATATTCCATATATATATATATATATATATATATATATATGTATATAATGAAAGGATAATTAATGGAGGGCATATTACAACATATGCTAATTTTGGGGTCGTGGTGTGGGTTGAATTATGTTTCCCCCAAAAGAGATATGTGAAATCCTAACATCCTTACCCCTAGTCCTCGTGAATTCAATTTTATTTGGAAATAAGGTCTTCATTTAATAATGAAGTTAAGATGCCTTCATTAGGGTCGACTCTAATCCAATATGATTTATAAAAAAGGGAATTTTAGACATAAAGACAAATTTCGGAGAGAAATATCATTAGGCTTTGTGGAGGGTGTTCTATATTCCTCAACTAGTAAGAGTTTTGCGAATGTGCCAAAATCCAGTGAAATCAAAACAAAAACAAAAACACGCTAATGAATGGACAATTAAGACTTGGAATCACATTCCGAAGTAATTCTCCATTTCGGTCAGTATTCATTAGAATTAAATTTTAACGTGGGCTCCAGCCTGACTCGGAAGGTACAAAGGAATGCTTCCCGGCTGGGTCGCGTGGAGGAAAAGGTTGGCATCGTCCCCCCGCAGGTGTCAGAAGGTAGGAGACCTCAGAGACTGTTTACAGGGAACGTATTTCCACACTCCCCGTCGCTGCATAATTCAAACCCACTCTGCTCAATTGGATATTTTAATCTTTAAAGTGAAGAGGAAAAATATAACCTTTTAGAAGCAAATCTTCAGGTGGGAACGTTAACGTGTTTGCCTGAAAAGCCATCCGTTTTTGCTGCGGCAGGCAATTTGTGGTGGGAAATCATTTTCATCTCAGCCGGGAGATTGGAAAATGAACGTGCCAATGGGGGTTTTTCACAGGGAGTTCTAGAGGTGGGAGGCGGCCGTGGTGGGAAACAGGATGATATTTTGTCACCCGGACCTCATCTGCATGGGATGTGTTTTGGGCTTTGTGACCTGAAGCTCTGTGGCTTGTGTCTGAATCAACACCAATCTTCCAACAAATTTAAATTCCAGTTTTGCGCAAACGTTTTTCTTAAATGGGTCCCAAATTGCTCTAAACTGCTCAAATATAAATGGTAATCAGTTTATTTCAATGTGAAAGCAGTTAGTGTTGACCTGTAGGCATCCCAGCTTCGAGGGCTGTTATCAGAACACAACTGTGAGTCCACTGAAGGTCGGTAAGGCTGGCGGTTTTGGTCACGACAGTGTGAGACACGGTGCCATTTGGTGGATCTCTTCCTGGAGGTATCCATTCGCCTATGTGTGTAAATGGAATAAATACTACTTTCCCTGCTGGGCTCAGTGCATGTGCATAATTTGCTGTGGCACAAAGATTTCTCTAACGTCATGTAGAAACCCCTTTCGTACCCACCTTACTAATTAACGGTCTGAAATATGTTGAGAACATAGGTCCTAGTCAAGCTTTGAGAAGCACTCTGGTGTCTCCAGGGCGTGGCTCTCAGGCTTTTAACCAGGATGGTCTTTGAGCTCGCGAACATCTACCTGGGGAAAGTGAACGTCACCAGCAGGTGGGTTTGCACGGAGGGTCCCACGTAGGGGGAAGCAGGAAGACGTTACTGTCAACCTGCAGACTCTTTGATCCCCAGGGCAAGCCGTTTCACGGTTCTCTAAGATTTAACGGTCTTTGTTGTAAAACAAAACAAAACAGAACAAAACCAAAAGCAGGTATAGTATCAGGATGTGCCTTAGACAGGTGAATGGCTACCATGATATGTTATTATTTGAGACCGCTCTTCTGAATTCATTGAGGAGAGAGATGGTCAGGATGAGTCAAGGGCTCTTCTGGGGCACATGTGTAAATGTGCTGCCCACCAGGACTGAAGTTCAAGTTAACGCTAACTAGCTGGGGAGGATCCGGAACTTTCTGACCAAGAGCCGATTCCAAGGCTGAATCATCTTCACAGCAGGTACAGGACAGAACAATCTCTCTCTCTCTCTCTCTCTCTCTCTCTCTCTCTCTCTCTCTCTCCTTCTCAAGTGGAGATAAGAATTGGCAGATAACAGTGTTCCAAATTTCTGAAAACTAAAACCTTCCTCTTGTGTATGTGTGTGTGTGCCTAAGACTTAAGTTTTTTTTCGTAAACCAGGGTTTTGGGGGTACATGGGCGACTCAGCTGATTGAGCATCTGACTCTTGATTTGGGCTCAGGGTGGGCTCCGTGCTGAGTGTGGATACTGCTTACAATTCTCTTTCTCCTCCCTCTGCCCCTCTCCCCTGCTCACACTGGTGCTCTCTCTCTCAAAATAAAAAATAAATAAAATTAAAAAGTGAAATCTTAAGGAAAAAAAAGCAGGATTGGGTTCACTGCAAAAATTGCAAGGGAGGTACGGAGAGCTGCTATGTTCCTCCTTCTGCCCCACATGCCCACGGCGTCCCCCGTTACCAACTTTTCTCACCACGTGGTGCTTTTTTTAAACAGGGATGAACCTACACTGACAGCTTAGAATACCCCAAGTCCTAGTTTACATCAGGATTCACGCTTGCTGTGCCTTCTGTGGGTTTGACGGATGTATGATACGCATCTGTTCTGTCTGTCCATCTGCTGTCCCCCCAGTCCCTGGAGACCCCCGATCAATCTGTTTACCATCTCCATAGTTCTGCCTTGTCAAGGATGTTGGACTTGGAAACTGTCTCCTCGTGTTCTGAATTTTTTCCCTTCCAAGATTTTATTTAAATCCCAGTTAGTTAACATAGAGTATAGGGTTAGTCTGAGGATCCTAATATTTTGAAGGAGAAATGATTGAAAGCCTGGAGGCCAAGACAGGACCAGGAAATGCCTTGAACACAGGTGTCCTTTTATATAAAAAAATGTTTTCAGGGGCACCTGGGTGGCTCAGTTAAGCATCTGACGTCGGCTCAGGTCATGGTCTCGCGGTTCGTGGGTTCGAGCCCCACATGGGGCTCTGTGCTCACAGCCTGGAGCCTGCTTCTGATTCTGCATTTCCCTCTCTCTCTGCTCTTCCCCCACTGAAGCTCTGTCTCTCTGTCTTGCAAAAATAAATACGCATTAAAAAATGTTTTCATATCCACAGGGACTAGCCCAATGTATGGTATCTATTAGACATTTCACACATAGTTAATAAAAAATATTGTATGGCAAAGTGGTGTGGGAATTGGAGAATGTTTCAAAACCCTACACATTTGTAAAGACATATGCAATATCGTACAGAGTCTGTGCCACCTCTGCTGTGAATAGAAAGGCTGTTCTTTATGACGTGAAACGTGAGACATTCAGGAACGGGTCCTTCCAATACGTACTGTTTTGCCAGTGGCTGTCCAACGCGGCTTTCTAATTCACCAGATTCATTGCTCTTGTCATCACAGACACGATGATTTTTCATTAGCGCCTTCACCAAGGTCTATGCGTGAACATAGCGCTTAGTTAACTCATGAGAAGCTGGAAATGGATGCCTTCCTGTTTGGCCGTTTGCCAGGATGGGTACATGATTGGCATGTGATCGTGGGGGTTCGCAAACATCTGTCTCTTTTGAGACCACACGGTACCTACTGTTGACTGTTGGGTCAGTGACCAAGACTCCTTTCCAGATCTTCACCACAGTTAGGATAAAGTAGCAAGGGTTCTGACCGTCGAGCACATTTTCCTGTGGAATCCAATCCTAGGAATCAATTACGAGTCTTTGAATGCAACCGGTGAGATTTGCGTCCACGTTATGGTTTACACTTTGGTGGAGACGCCACCAGTTAAGAGACAATGCTCAGTTTGACACTTACGTAAGCATTCCACTTTGTAATATAAAATGCATCAGTCCTTTTAAACAGATGGCCTGGGAGAATGTCTCTGAGTTTACATTCGAAAAAATACGTTCCCTGCAAAGTTCCCAGGCACATTTCCCAAAGTGGGAAGATACCGGATCTGAACTGACAGGCAACAGAGGTCTCCAGTCCCTGCCTTAAGATCGCTTTGGAGCCTGGCTCCCAGCCACGTCCGTGATCTCTCCCGAGACAGACCCGATGAAGCAGAGGAACCTGGCACTGAACCCCAAAACAGCAGAGGCCTGTGAGAGTGGGGGCTTTCCCCACTCAACAACATTATGCAAAACACACCCTTGGATCCCATAGGCACGTACGGAAAATTAAGGGTCAACATGTCAGTGGAAACGGCACAGGCACCTTGACCAAGTGCGATGCATGTAAAAGAAGGAGGGACTGGACACCCAGGGCCCCTAAAGCAAAGAGCTCTGTCTATCAAACAAGCATGTCTATCAAAGCACATGCACACCGTGTGTGATGAGCACCCTGCCCGGCTCATCTCCGTTTTCACGGCAGAGGGAGCTCCGTGGCACCGGGGGATCTGGCACCTGCAGTTTGCAGCTGTCTCCTGTTCGCCAGACGGAAAGGTCCCCCTTCCCCCATTTGTCTCCCCTGAGAACTCTCATCCGCCCTTCAAGGCTCAGCAAACGTATGAGCTTCCCAGGGAAACGTTTTGTGACATTTGGTGTCCCACAGGTGGTTACGTGGCTCGCCCAAACTGTGACCCACAGCGTGCTCTGTCTTTTGCATGTCAGATCCTGTAACTCCTGTCCTGAGACAGCGGTCTCCTTGCAATGCGCAGGTAGGAACAGCCCCAGCCTCCCCCCCCCCCGATCCCCTTCCTGTGTGTGGGAGAAGCTCCCCATTTCCTGGCCGCCATCATGAATCTCCCTAGGTTTCGGGTGTGCCCTGGGACCAACTTGGCTCGCGGAGAGCTTGCACAGGTACGAGGTGTTGGGCCCCTTCATGGTACATTGAGGAGCGTTGAGTCTGGCCTGTACCCACTGGCTGCTCAGAGCTAATGACACGCAAGTGCATGCTTGTTTCATGGAAGCACAATTCACGTAAAATTAACGGGTGAAAGTGTGCCACTCAGCGGCACACTGAGTGTGCTCACCAGTGTGCCATGTCACCACGGTCTGGTCCCAGGACGTTTTTATCCAGCTCCAGAGGAAACACGGTGCGTGCTAACCAGATGCTCTGTATTTCCCCACCTCCCACAGCCCCTGGAGACCACGACTCTGCTTTCTGTGTCCGGATCTGCCCGTTCCGGACAGTTCTGATCAATGGATGTACGGCGAGTTCGTTTTAGCACAATAATTCCACGAAGGATCAGGCCACTGTGCCGATTACTGTACCGTAGAGTGAAATGCAGGCACGGAGGCGTTCTGAGAACTCAGAAACAGAGAAGCCACCCACGATGAAGGAAAAGTTGAGATCTGCACCATTAACTGATTGTGGGACATGACCGGGCCCGCCATTGATATTCCCGCCAGCCTGAGCAATACACATACCATGTTGGCTGCTCGTGTTCAAAAATCATTAGATATTGTTGCCTGAAGGTGGGAAAATGAACAACAAATTCTTCCTCTTGTACGTTCTTGGGTCGACTCGCGTCTTGGGTCAGATGTTCGCATCTGTTTCTGATTTCTGCCTTTCCTTTGGCTTCCTTTAAACCCCAAGTACTGAACAAAGACGTATCCTCCAAGGAAGGTGTTTCATTGGGAGGGACGTTGTATAGCTATGTTCTCACACTGGCAAAGTCCCAATCAGGCAGGTGTCTCTTGGGTCGTCTTTGCACTTTGCCAGGTTTGAAAAGAGGGAACCAACCCACATGGAGGGTTACTATACAACACAGAGAAGTTTCTTCAAGAAGTTTCCCTAATGCGAGCATAGCAACGATGCATTATTTCACAAGGGTAAGGCTTTCTTTACGGGGAAAAAATCCCCTTGGGGCACCTGGGTGGCTCAGTCAGTTAAGCCACCGACTCTTGACTTCGGCTCAGGTCATGATCTCACAGTTCGTGAGTTTGAGCCCCATGTGGTGCTCTGTGTGGACAGCTCTGAGCCTGCTTGGGATTCTCTCTCTCTCTCTGCCCCTCCTCTGTTTACACACTCTCTCTCAAAATAAACAAATAAACATTAAAAAAAGAAAAAAAAAAACCCACCTGGAATGTGGAACTTTGTATGCAGAGGACAATAATGTTGAGCTGTGAGCTTATCTGTCCTTTATTTTCATTTAGCCAAGCACCAAGTGTTTGCAGGGACAGGAAGAAAAAGTAATCTAAACAATAAAAAATATCAAGTTGACCTTTTACTGAGTACCCATCTCTGCAGCCCAAGGCAACAAGCTACATGGAGTTTCTTTTCATTAAACGAAATTATTCTATCGTATGAAACCGTCACCTTCATATTCATTTAACCTTTCTGATGGTTTTCTTGCCTGGGAGGCGTGCAAGAGAAAATGCCAAATGCAGAGAAAAAGGAAGAGGTTTTCAACTTCAACATGATGTTCCTGTGGATGGGCCAAGAGCCCAGTCATGTTATGGTGGAAAGCATGGCTCTCTCCACCCTAAAACGAATGATGGCTTTGCAGCGTAAAGACTCTTAAAATAATGGTCCTCCTATGCTTTGGACAGAAGGTCTCCACTGCGTTGCACTCAACAGCTGAGACGCTAGACGTCTTTCAGTGTTTTTAAAACAATGAATACGCTGACTTTCCCTGTGAAAGTGGTTCGCCCAGAGGGTTGAGTCACGGATCTCAGTCTGCCTGTTGTAGTTGTCACGAGAGGGTGCCTGCGGTAGAGACGACCACAGTCACAACGGCTTCCCCCAACAAGAATCCATTTCTTGCTAACCTCATAGTCTACACCAGGGGTTATTGCCCACACTGGGGAGAAACAGGTGCTCTTTCAAAGACTAACAGGGGGCTTTACCTGTGCAAGGCAGGTAGAGGTGACCCTGGCCATTGGGGCTTTGCCATCAGACAGGATGAACGTAGCTTGCCAATGGCACCCTCTGGTCTTGCCCAAAGCCCACTGATGAGAATTAACCCCGTGGTGTTGTGTAAAGGTGGAGATGTGATGGGAATTCTAGACGGTGACAAGGAACAGGAGACCAGGCGATACTGTAGGGCCAAGCAGCCAATCTCCGCCACAATTATGCGCAGTGAGTGGCCGCATGTAACGCAGCGTTGGGCGTATTTTGTTTTTATCTGCCTATCACGGTGAGATGGGAAAGTGAGTCCCTTCTACCTATTGCTTTCCACCTCAACGGTGAGTGCAGGACTCATGCTCATGACCTCCACAGCTCACCCCTGCTCCTGCAATTCTATTAAATATCTCTGCTGGATTTCTCTCCCCCTAACTGGAGCCCAGCCTCGTGGCAGCCCAAAGGTTGGTATTTCTGTGAGATACAAATGGGTATCTGTGAAGCCCTATTTGCACTCAGAAACCAATGTTTATGATCACTGAAAGAGGAGGAAGAGGCCAAAAGAGGAAAAGATACGTTTTTCATAAAGATGGGTTCTCCAATGTAGCAGGAAAATGCCCCATGTAGGACCCTGGGCTCACAGTGTGGAACCTGCTTGGGATTCTCTCTCTCTCCGTCTCTCTTTCTCTCTGCCCCTCCCTCACCTTGTCTCTGCCTCTCAAAATAAATAAAAAACTTAAAAAAAAAAGAATAAGGTTTCAAGGAAACTGCAGTTGAAGAGTTTTAATGAAGACCCTTATATTTAAATTGATTTACTTATATACAATGTGTCTATAATATATAACATGTATGTAATATATATGTATATATGTATTATATATTTATATATAGTATGTATGTATTATATATAATGTACATAGACATGTGTATAATATATACTATATATGTAATATATCTCTTACGTACATACAACTAATACGTAGGATAGAAGTATGTTCATTTATTTGCTATGTTTAGATAATGTAATGTATAATAAATGATAACCATATATTACGTGTAATATGATTATATTAAATAATGGTTATAGGCACACCTGGCACACACTTAAAGTGTCTGTCTTAAAGGCACACTTAAAGGCACACACTTAAGTGTCTATCTCTTGATTTCAGCTCAGGTCATGATCTCTCACTTCCTGAGCTCAAACCCCCCGCGTTGGGTTCTGTGTTGCTAGCGTGGAGCCTGCTTGGTATTCTCTGTCTCTTTTTTCTCTCTGCCCCTCCCCCCACTTGCTGTCTCCCTCAAAATAAATAAATAAACAAACTTAAAAATAAAGAAATAAATAATCATTATAACATCATGTTATATGTATTGAGTATATGTTATAACAGTATCTATGTGATGTGTCTATAATTATGATAGTATATACTAATTTACATAGGTACACATTTACAATAAGTTACAGGTTTTAGTGCTTTAAAGTTCTTTCATATATGGCATCGCACAAGCCCGTCTCCCACGCACATTGCCCCCGGCACCAGAATCAGACCATCCCAACGAAATGGCTGAGAAAGCAGTCGGTGAAGCTAGGACATCACTGAGCTCTGCATGATTCTACTCTTGTTGGATTGGCCCACATCGAAAGATACATGTGATTTGTATATATTAACAGTCATGTTCTAAAATGATGTGTTTTTGTATTTGGCAAGGAAAACTGCTGGAAAGAAATGTATATTCTCTGCACACGACAGCGACATGTATTCTGTTCCTTTTGTGTTTTCCTCGGTAGTACATCACCCACTGAGGCTCCCATTGGCCCATGCAGACGAAATCCTGTCAGTCCCCCAGTGTCGAGCAACTCTTGGGAATACTAATTCTTCGTAATCACAACAAAGCTCAGATCAGCAAATAGAATAATGTATACGTGCCTCTTAACTGATAGAGAAGACACTGTGATTTCTAGCCACAAAACAGTGATTCTATCACTTTCTAGAAGGTAGAGATTGCAGAGGGAAATGAACTAACTTCTGAGCCCCACTGTGATTCAAAAGATATTCAGAAACCCAGGCAACTCCTACAGTCTATTTTAAACAATCACAAATGCCAACACGGGTCTGGACTCACCGTGACGTGTGCCTTCTCTCTCATAGGTAGACATGTACGTGCATCTTGAGCATACCCAACGTTAACCACACCGTTCTGTCTTTGTCTACAATGCATTGCTATGTCATAACTTAGTTTCTTATTTCCTTCACTTCAAAGACCATGCACTTTTCTCTCCACCCTTAATAAAATCTATGCTTAATTTATATCGTAGATGCTCTTTGGACGGTCGCCCAGATCTCAGGAGAAGAAAACCAATGCATCACCTACCATCGTGCCATTTTCACGTGGAATTCGGGCAAAGTGATTTTCTTTAAGCTCCTTCCCGAGGCCACGACCCATTCCAAAATGGTTGCAAACGTCACGGTTCTTGGGACAACCAAACCCTTTAAAAAGTAACGGGTTGGGGCGCCTGGGTGGCGCAGTCGGTTGAGCGTCCGACTTCAGCCAGGTCACGATCTCGCGGTCCGTGAGTTCGAGCCCCGCGTCGGGCTCTGGGCTGATGGCTCAGAGCCTGGAGCCTGTTTCCGATTCTGTGTCTCCCTCTCTCTCTGCCCCTCGCCCGTTCATGCTCTCTCTCTCTGTCCCAAAAATAAATAAACGTTGAAAAAAAAAATAAAATAAAATAAAAATAAAAAGTAACGGGTTTATTTTTTTAGAAATTGGAAGTACAGAGTTCCCACGTACCCCTCTCCCTGCTTACACAATCTGCCCTATTAATAACATCTGGCACTAGTGTGCTACATTTATGATAATCAATGAAAAATACGAATATTATTAATAAAGGGTTATGGTTTGCATTACTGGCTCTATCTTTGTTTTGGGCATTCTGGGTTTGGACAAATGCATAATGACGTGTGTCCGCCATTACAGACTCATACAAAATAGTTTCACTGCCCTAAAAATTTCCTGCGTTTTGTCCGCTCATTCCCCACCCCCAAGTCTCTGGCAACCACTGATTTTTTTTTTTTTTTACTGACACCATGGTTCTGCCTTCTCCTAAAACATCATAGAGCTCAAATCATAGCATAGGGAGCCTTTTCAGATGGACTTCTTTCACTCATGAACATGCATTTAAGTTTTCTCCATGTCTTCCCATGGGTTGACAGCTTATTTCCTTGTATCCTTGAACGATATCCTGTTGCATTCACCTGTTGAAAGGCTTCATGGTTGCCAATTCCATTCTCAGGCAGGTACAACTTGCTGGCAGCTTCTGTCCACTTTCTGACTCCTTCATTACCTGGCTGCCTGGAAAAATCCCAAGCTTAGAATTATCCTCGGACTTTCCTGTTCTAAATCTATAAATCTGAGTGGTAGACCACAAGTAGAGTAATGACAGTCTTCCCAGCATAGTAAAAATAATCTTCCCCAAACCGCCCATCTTCCTCCATGTGGTTAAAAGAGAGGAGGGGTCTTACTCCTTGTTCGAAATGAATGAAGGGGTCCTGAGTGACTCAGTTAGTTGAGCGTCCGACTTTGGCTCAGGTCATGATCTCGTGCTTGGTGAGTTCAAGCCCCGCGTTGGGCTCACTGCTGTCAGCCTGGAGCCTGCTTTGGATCCTCTGTCTCCCTCTCTTTCTGTCCCTACCCCACTTGTGCGCTCTCTCTCTCTCTCAGAAAATAAAATAAAACATTAAAAAAAAATAAATGAATGAAAATAGAAGAGTCTTCCCTCTACTTGTGCTGTAGCTGTGATTCCGGACCTGAGTGATTTCTCAGGTCCTGTCAAGAGCCCGCTGGTCTGGGTAATGGGTTCTCCTTTGCAGAGTGAGCATTATCCCTACCACGTGCCTTGTCAGAAAGAAAGAAGCATGGTGCTATTGTCATTTGATGTCCTACGAATCATAATCAACGCCTTGATTTCCGTGTGTGTGTGTGTGTGTGTGTGTGTGTGTGTGTGTGTGTGTATGTGTGACACCTACATCAACTGGGGGGGAAAATACTCAGAACCAATTGAACCGGTGACTCTCAACTCTGCATTTGGATGGCGATATTGGCGGTGGCTGCTAGGGAAGGCAGTGGAGGCAGTGGGTTCTGGGGGTGCGGAAGCGGGTTTCTAAATTGCCAGTCTTGGGGGATGGAGAAATACGTAGAATGAAGATGGAAATGTTTCTCTATTCTCATAAAGTAACGAATGAGCTGTCATCATTAATAGCCACAGGGAAAGGTTGGCAGCTCGAGCCGAATGAATAAGAAAAGAGCGTGATAGCCTGTCCCTGCCTAATGAAGCCGAGAGATTAAAGATACTCAATCATAGCATTTTACCAGTACACCTGGATTCTCTTTATTAAAAAGGCATTTATCTAATGATCCATGGCAAGCTATTACCAGAAGTGGAGAATGGTGTTATTGATAGAAAGAGGATGAAAAGCCATCGAAGAAGGAATATTTCCTCACTGTAATAAACCTTGATAAAGTATTGATCTTTAAAGGAAAATTGTTGGTTTTGCGTTTTGTGCTGGGCTGTCGAGCTTAGTTAGAGAAGGAATTATTTAGCTGAATTCCCAGCACTTAGTGTTAATGAACTCAACACTTCTTTTTTTTTTTATCAAGTAATTTTTATGCAAAATCGTAGTTTGAGGATTGGCATAGTGCTGAAAGAAAACTGCACATTATTAAAAAGCAGACAGTATTACTCTGAGAGAATCCATGACTCAACTGATACTTTCTTCTAGATTTTGTCAGTATGTCTGTCTAAAGCAGCATTGGGAGGACACGACAGAGTAATTGATGCACCAAAGTGATTCATAACATTCCTAGCTGTTCCTGGATTATTAGGCAATTCGGGGGAAAACAAACACAGAAATCCTTTTGTTGTGTTTAATCGGAAAACAGAGACAAGTCAGAACATATGAGGAGAGAAAAAAAGACATCTGGAATTTGGTTAGAAAACCTGAAATGTACTTTGGTCTTGGTCTCTGTTGGTTCGTTGCTGGGTAGATGCTAAAACATGGTATTCTTGGAATCTGCGTTTGAAACCACAGAAGCCTACTGTGATGTACGTGAGCATCTATCAACACTTAGGTTCGAGAGAGTGTGATTTTAGTCCAGCAGGTCAACATAAGAAATATCTGTTCCCAGGATGCACACATTCTCTGGGAATTACACACATCATCAATTACAGCAGGGGTATTTTTCTAGCATCCTGATTGGAAGTATCCATGACACTGCATATTTAAAACATGGCAAAGGAAACATTCTGCCAAGTGAAAGGAGCCAGCCATCAAAGACGCAATGTAGGAGTCCATTTATATGAACTGCCTTGAATATGCACATCCATAGAGACAGAATGTAGATGGGTGGTTCCCAACTGGAGACGTGGAAATCAGGAAGGACTAGCCATGCGTGAAAAAGTGCCCTTTGTGGTGATGAAAATGATCTGGGATAGGCAGTGGAGATGCTTGGACAACTCAATATACTAAAACACACACACACACACACACACACACACACACACAGGCTTGTACATTTTCTTTTTATTTTTTTAATGTTTATTTATTTTTTGAGAGAGAGAGTGAGCATGAGCAGGGGAGGGGCAGAGAGAGGGGGAGACACAGAATCTGAAGCAGGCTCCAGACTCCGAGTTGTCAGCACAAAGCCTGATGTGGAGCACGAACCCACGAACCATGAGATCATGACCTGATGCTTAACTGACTAAGCCACCCAGGTGCTCCTGGCTTGTACATTTTCAACAGCACATTCTATGGTATATGAATTTCATCTCAAAAAAGCTGATAAAAACCTGATAGGATTCTTGTCAAGTGCCTACCCTGGGTAAGATGCCAACATGTTCAAATGGCTGCATCTTGACAGGTGGAAACCCACAGGCGTGCCTGGCTGTGACCATAAAACCCTTAAAAACCCCAAAATCTAGGTTTTTGTGCCTGAGAGAATGGTTCTTGAATGGGCAACACGACAGTTTCCTGGGGGTGAACTTCATGCCAGACTCTCAGGCACTGAAGTAGGATCTGCTTTTAGGAAGATCTCAAGGGGATGGTGAGCACATTCATATTTATGTTTACGACGTCCTGAGCGATACACCGTGCCATGCAGGGGTCATTCTGCTGAATGATTTTCTTCCAATTGCACCTCATGTGTTTTGGGTTAACGTTTGAACTAGATGGACTGCCTTTGTAGAAACAGAAGCGGAGACCCTGTCTTTTTGCCTTCAGACCCCAAGCCACTCTTTAGTGCTAACTGTACTGTTAGCTCAACTCACTTTGCAGGTGAGTAAGTGGGAAATAAAATAACCCTCATGTGTAATCAAGTCTTATGATGACATCAGTGCCATGTTGCTATAAAAGTGTCATGTCACGTGTCTTCTGTGTACATCGGTACAACCACCATGGAAAACGGTATGGAGGTTCCTCAAAAAGTTAGAACTAGAAATACCATATGATCCTGTTAATTCTAGGGTTTATTTATCCAAAGAAAACAAAAATACGAATTCAAAAAGATATAGGCACGCCTGTGTTTATTGCAGCATTATTTACCACGGTCAAATTATGGAAGCAGCCCAAGTGTCATCACTAAGATGAATGCATATGGAGCACGTGGTACGTATACACAGTGGAATATTACTCAGCCATACACAAGAATGAACTCTTGCCATTTGCAACAACATGGATGGAGCTGTAGACTACTCTGTTAACTGAAATAAGACAGTCAGAGAAACACAAATACCATGTGATTTCACTCACATGTGGAATCTCAGAAACAAAACAGATGCACACACAAAACAGACTCCCAAATACAGAGAAGAAATTGCTGGTTGCCAGACAGAGGTGGGTAGTTGGATCGGTGAAATAAGGAAAAGAGATCAAGAGCTAGAAAATAAATAACCATGGACATGAAAAGCACAGCATGGGCAATAGAGTCAATAATAGTGTAATACATTGTTGGGTGACGGAGGAATACTCTATACTTAGTGAGAGGAGCCCTGGGTAATGTATGGAATGGTTGAATCGATAGGTTGTACATCTGGAATTAATATAAAATTGTATGTTAATTATACTTCAATACAACGAAGAAATGGCATCTTAAAAAAAACAATAGTAGGAAAAATATGAAGAGAAAAACTACCCGCGATGAACTCAAGTCCATGCCTAGATGCAGACTATCGCATTTAAAGGCCGCGGAAGAGCAACTGTGTACGTAGATAGCCTAAAATGACAGTGTGTGTGTGTGTGTGTGTGTGTGTGTGTGTGTGTGTGTGAATTTGACAAGTTTCAGTATTTAAGAGCTTCTGTTAGTTTTCTGCAGAATAGAGATAATGCCCATGGCCTCCTTCCTTCAAAAAGACTTGATCCAAGAAACATACGTGTGCGAAAATGTTCCATAAATTATATTATGATGTGAAAATGACTCCTATTTTATCAACAAGACTGCTTCGCGCTGAATTTATAGTTTCTTTGTGGAGAATGCTTCAGACAATGATACTGTGTTCACTTTGAAAACTTTCCTGCCTCTCCTACTAAAATTAGATGCAGACGCAGTCTTGTTCCCGTATGTTTGTTAATTGGGATTATGAATTACCTCTTTGAAATGTATTTTCTCTAAGGTTTATTGCCTCATTTTTCATTGTGTGTACATGCTACATGGCATTTCGCTTTTCTTCACTAGCCCACGGACTGGCTTTGGCGAAAGAGAAAAATAACTGAAATGAAATGAAGAAAATCTTCATGTTGAATGCAAAATCATTACCCCATAACCGCCTTTTTTAAAAGCAGGAACACTTCACAATTAGCTTTTCCATCTTGTACCAAAGCCTTCATCCCAAGTTCTTCCTGAGCCATCATTTAGTCCCCTGCATTCTTATGATCTGTTTGTACGAATGGCTTTCTTAAAGATGTCTTGGAGAGATTATCTTCATAGCTTCTCCTTTTTAAACAAATGCTAGCTTACATAGTCCTGAGGACCATCAGCCTATATTCGCGGTGCATCCGAATATTAAGGCAGCACAATTTCTCAGAGGGGTGTAGATGGTTTTGTATGATAGGAACTAGTACGTATAAGGTTGACATTTCTTTCATTTATGCAGCCAGGAATAGTTCTTGAGAGCATAGACCGAACTACACTGTCTGTGCTATTCTGAGAATAAACATGCAAATTTGAAGGATGTCACCTCTTCCATTTTAAACATGAGAAAGTACACCTGGCAGCCTTGGTGGAAAAATACATTCCAGGGCCACCTCGGTGGCTCAGTCGGTTAAGCATCCAACTCTTGGTTTCGCCTCAGGTCATGATCT